ATATCAAATGACGGGACGAATAAGTCGTGCGCCTGATGGTAAGCTACACGCCTGGCCTGTAAATCGCAAAAATCTGAATGCATTGCCACTGCGCCAATCACCCTGAGACATGAGTTGACAAGTCCCATGTGGCAGTAATTTCACCAGCACCCTTACCTTTCTAAATCAGAACGCAGATATACCCTCATTAGGTAATGCTTGGTGGCAGAAATAGATAACTGCCGTCCGCTGACTAAAAGGCGGCTAAGTGACAAATAAAAAACTATAACCCAGTTTTAGAATATTCAAATTGTTTAATGATATTTCAGGTGTACGTCGTTAGGGTAAGTTCCGATAAGTCGAATACGTTAACTAATTTTAACTGTTTTTAAAAGTGAATTTTGTGTTCATCTTTTTCTACTTATACGAATATTTGACCGTTTGTCACTTAGCCGCTTTTTAGTTAGTGGACGGCAGATAAGGTGGCAGTACTTCCCTGGAAGAATTCTTTCACAAGGAGCTCTACTGCTACCATGAATACTATTTTATTAGAACATTACTTTTGAAATTATTTCATTAATAATAATTAAGTTTTGTAGAAATATATTAACAAAAATAAGGGCTATACCAGAAAAATATCGAATAAATAAGCGACATGCCTGTACATAGCAGTTGCAGTGCCACACGGGGCTTTTAAATCACAGCCATCCGAAAGGTACTGCCACTGCGTTCGGAGCTCTACTGCTATTAATATTTATTTGTCTTCTCCAAAGAATTTATTCACTATTAACTCAGTACACACCACCTCATTCGTAAGGTCTGGTTGTGGATCCTAGACCAGAGAGAAAGAGATGGTGGAGCAGTCTCAGCCTACTCCCAAGAAAACAGAAAGATGTCACAATTTTATCGTCTCAATACCTCCTCGATAATATGTGCGCCAACCTTAAAATCGTCAGCAGCGGCATCTGTAGAGGTTTTCGTTGGCCGGCGGCGACGAGATGGCGTGGCAAATTTTTTTCAGGTATTTCAAAAAAAGAACTGTCACATTATTTGAATCGATTTTGTACCCATTTTTGTGAAATTACTTACTAGTTTGTTACAATTAATACAAAGAAATTTTTCTTCGATGCGACTGGATTCTAAGCAGCGCTTTCAGCATGCCGTGCCTGACACTAAAGAATGATAATTAAAGAATGTAAAAAAACAATCACATCTAAATCTTATATGAACATGTACGTAGACGAGAACATATTACATTTCAGTTTTACGATCATATTCTATTGAAATATGTAGAAGCTGATGTATCATTTTAATAAAAACAAATTTTCAGCACAGGTCTAGTTCATCGCATGCAACGGCGTGAATAAGGCTCAACTCACACTGGCGCAGAGTCGCAGCGTCACGTCCCGTCCTGTTTTTCAACTACAACGCCTGGCGATGTGCGTCGACGCGCGACTCCATATTTGCATAACACAAATTTATACCTTAATAATGGGAAATAGAGATGAATATGCTATTGGCGAAAAAGATGATGCGTCACGACGCTTCCAATCTGCGCCAATGTGAGTTGAGCCTAAGGGAGTCACAACACTTATTAATGCGGAATGAGCCAGTCAAAAACAAAATTATATCTATGCAATAAGAGCAAAAAGACGTTATGCGTTTCTTGTCGGTGGTCCGAGCAGAAGCGACAAACGCAAAGTAGCTCCTTATACCTATATACCTTCACAGAACTTTTTGTGACTGGCTTAATGTACAAGCTCAATGACGTCTTCAGGATGCCTATGATTATTAATACAAAAAACGAACACTTAGAAAATCTTTTTCGACCCGGTGGGACTTAAAGCTTGCAGTTAAAGTGCTGTGAAGAAGGTTCTAAAATCTCTCACTAGATGTCACTATTTTTAACAGAAACGTAGAAGTATTTCGACAACTCGATAACTTGACCCGTTAGGTCAGTGTACAGTATGGTTGTACGTTCAAGTCCCATCGGGTCGAAAAAGTTTTTCTATGTGTTCGATCTTTGTATTAATAATAATAACTAGTGGAGTTATTTCACAAAAAAATCTCAATAATACATCTTCAGACGCGAAGACTTTATTTATGCCATTAGGCAAAAAAGGTGTCGTCTCTGCTGAAGCTAGTGCATGACAATGGCAATAGCATCCTGACGATGTTTGCCCATCGTATTTTTTTAATATCTAGTGACGAGACGAATAAGTCGCACACCCGACGGTGAGCTTACGCCTGTCCATAACAGTTGCAATGCCACTCGAAGCTTTAAATCGCAAAGACCAGAGGGCATTGCCACTGCACCAGTCACCCTGTGTTATAAGTTGACAAGTCCCATGTGTGTGTAATTTCAGCAGCACCCTTACCCTTCAAAAGCGGAACACAGTAATACTGACATTATTGCTTGGCGGCAGAAACAGGTAAGGTGACAGTACTACTGACGTAAAGATTAGTATTCATCAAAGTAAGTAGTGTATTATGTAATTTCTTAATGTTCGTATTATAATTATCATCTAATAAAGTCCTAATTAGTTATAATTGTACTAACATACTTTTCAGTTTTTCTTTTATAACTAACACCAGGTTCTTATAAGCTCTGGCCTGAATTAAACGACTTAATTATTATCGACATATCGTGTCGATAAGTAGGGTGACTCTCTAAATGCACGTCTCTACTTGAGACCCTACAACTTCATATGTCAGTCTCCTTGCTGCAATGGTCACATGCGTATCTATAAGGACTGTAACTCAAATCTTGAATTTTTAAATAATCTTTTTCTACGATGTTCATCTCGCATCGCCCTGTAGAGCTTGTGGCCGTTACAGCATCGTTTGCAAGCTCTTATTAATAAGCGAGGAAAGCGAGCGAATCTGATCGAAACTAACACAATGGGAGTGCCGTACTCAGCTAAACAAATATTGACGTACATTTTAAACAAATGCCCGGTTACACCAATCTATGTTAGGTCGCGGTTGAAGAGTTGTTAACAAATTTAAAACTGAAATAACAAACCCGCGCCCATAACGCCGAAGTTACGCGTAGTGGTGCAAAACAAACATTTTTAAACATAATTACACGCTTCAGACCCAAGGAAGACCTTCAGTTTTATATGAAAAGCGTATTTTTCGAGAGACCTTATGAACATTATACTTAGAATATAATAGTGCTACATTTTTAATGCCATATTATCATTATACTCGTAATGTACATTGGACGATTACGAGTACATAGGAATAATATTGTTTGGGTCTGAATCACTTCACATTTTATGTACCTCCGTTTAGATGTACGAGTACTATCTCCAATTCAAACATAATACTGGCCAGTATCGTAACATATTCCTTGTTTATTCTTTTTTCAAAATTAGTGACGCTCTTTTATTTCTTTCGTTTTGCTTTGCACGGGCAAAATAGCGGAAGAAAAAAGCAAAATGTTTAAAAATGAGCAACAAACTTTTCTAACTTCAAACTTTTTTACAAATATAATAAGAGCATTTCCTATTTCATGTTCGAAAACGTAACCATGGTCGTCTTTTATTTAGTACACAACGCTTATACGTAGATATCGTTGTAGATTGGTTGTATAGGCAGATTGCAATTCGTTGTTGTTCATGTTAAGATGTGTGCAGTCATAAGATGTATACATCTTAACATGACTGCATATACATATAACACTCTATTTAGAGGTAGGTCGTGCATAGCTATGGGGCCTTCACTGTGAACAACTAAAATACATATTCAACCCAAGCTTGATTAGTATGTAAACATGTTTTGTGGCACCAAACGCTTGTTCAAACTTTAGTGTTGCTATAGCCTGAGTTAAATCTGAGTTTATATTAAATCGTCATCTTAATGTCGATGTCTGAAGACCGCTTGCACTAACGAAATTTTTTGCTCGTTAAACATGCGTTTTGTAGAGAACACCTGATTCGGTGTTCGATGCACGGACTACAATGTGTTTTTATGCGGTTTGTGATTTTTATCTTAAACCATACATATCTATGGTTATAGTTTAAAAAATATATTATAAATAAATATCTATATAGGAATAATATTGTTTGGGTGGAATAATTATGTTCCGTTCCACCCACACGGAAGAAATGATATATCAAAGATACCAGCAAATTGATTTCAAATAAATGTCTTATACTTTCGTCCTTGAATTGTTACGGAAAGGAGGAAATTTAACTTAATTAATTGTTTGCCATTTACGTAACATTTAAACTATAATTAAAACAAGCTATAACCGATTGATATCACGTACACCAATCGATCTTCGCCCAAGTGGGCTCGAAAATATTGGCTCAATACCTTATTGAATAATCCACGGGCAAGAGATGGTACGATATGGCCCCGCCGACGTAAATTAATATTTTGCATGAGAAATTAATGTAAATACAGTAATTACTAAAAATTTTCCTCTTTTTGAGCATGTTAATAGGCATGGGAATAAGTTTTACTCGTTTATTTGTTTTAAAAATTATGAACATTGGGCTGGTAACTTTATAATAAAAAGTTTTATTAAGGCATGATTATATTTTAATAGCACAGGCATAATACATAATAACAAAAGCAAATTAATAAATATCATTTTTTTAAATACTTAATAATATTTAATATCAATAAAAAATCAAAAAAATAAACGCAATGCATAGTAGCGCCATCTTGTGACAACTAGGAGAATTTCTTGTAATACTGCATTTCTCTACACGCATTTCTTTTTTTGCATTATTATTATTAAAAAACGAGTAAAACTAGAATTTTACATTTCGTTTTGAAACAAGTGAGGCGATCATCAAAAAAATATTGGAATTATAGTGATACAGCTATACTATGAAAATATTTTTGGTATTTTTTTACTTGAGTTTCCGTTTTTTGTTTTTAAATATATTCTCTGTTCAAAAGAAAAATGAAACGTGAAAACCTTAGAAAAAAACAGAATTGAACAGAATCCTTATGTCAACGCAAACAAAACTATGTCAAAATTATTTCTAAATTTCATGTAAAAAACAAAAAAAAGATTTATTTCCTTACAATAATTTATGTGCAGGATTCCATGTGCTCCTCTTATATCTAGATTCAGCAGAGAATCGACGCGATGGCCGAGAAGTGAGTAATTCTTTTCTTTGTTATTCACACTGTTGTCAACATTTATGCATTGCTTATCATGAAATTGTGATTAATTTTTGTACTTACACAAGTTCGTAGTTTATTTGTAAACAGTTTTCACTTCCTATTCGGTATGGGAAGTGAAACAAAACTGATTTTTCTGCCGAAAATTGGCAAACACATACTTAATTTTTAAGGTCAACTGTGGTTTCTCGCGATTGACTGTGCGGTATAGCTAATTCGTTCCGCTATTCCTCTGTTGAGCGGAATTTAATTGTAAATGTCACAAACAATGATTTAAATAAAAATGACATTATATTGTTTTCATGGCGTATTCATCAAAGTACAATGTCTTAAATCACATACTTTACACACATTACAAATATATTAAATTTACAAAAACAAACAATACTATGGTCTAACGTTAACTGTTGTACTGTTTTCAGATTTTTAATACTGTAAGTGCATGATTTGACATTTTTCTAATTATTCTTGTTGCTTCAATTAATTAATTGAGATTGTATCATTCTTTCAATTAACAAATAGGAAAGATGGTCCATTGCTATAGTGCGTTAACCTTGAATCAGAATTTTGAAAATCACATAAATAAAGATCAATGTGGGGAAGTTTAACTTCATAACTGCCTGTGTGGCTGAATGGTTACCTTACTGGACTGCCACGCAGATGTCCCGGGTTTGATTCCCGGGCTGGGAGCAGTATTGTATGGCCTACATTTATGTCTCTCATGCATTTGTGTGTAATTCTGGTTGTCTATGTGTGTCCATGGCACCTGCAATGCTGGGCGTCCAGTGCGGGGCTGTAATGTGTGCGTTATTATTATAATATATGCCACAGTAATAGTTTAGTTTGCTTCTTTATTCTAGGATTTGCAAACTTAAGCACATAAGACCTGAAATGCCCTTATAGCCTTCTGCACTTGTGTCTGTCTCTGGATACTCTACACCAAGTAGTGGTTTCCATGGTTTTAAAAAATCATCATCACATTCACTTGTCTCTTTTCCTTTGTCCATTTCAAACCACACTAAAAATGCTTAATTATGTAGTTAAACCATTCACCTTTCTTATCATGAAAACCATAAAATGGAAAAGTGCAGTGTAATTCCCAACTAACAAGATATGTTTTTCTAAGCATATCAAAATGTTTAACAATCATGCGTCATCTGTAAATGCACACAATAATTTCCGTTACCTACATATATGTTTGTCGTATTCTTTTTATAGGACATTCATAAATGAGTGAAACAATCAAATTTTTATTGCATATAGGTCAAATAGCAGAACTAAAACAAATTATACAAGCTGTGATTCGTGTAATTTGATATGAAATAACGGAACAAAAATAACAACCACTATGTTTTAAATAGTATAATATTTAAGAATGTTTGTATTTTGTACAATCATAAAAATTTTGTTATTTAATTTAAGCACAGTCTGTTTGAATTTGCATTCATTGTCATCAACATACATAAGGACATTGTTGGGCACAAGTTTTCACTAAGGAGACAAGATGTTGTACATATTTAACAGGATTTGAAATTATCAATTAATTTTGTTTTCTTTTAATTATGAATACAAAGATCGAACACTCAGAAAAAATTCCTTCGATCTGGCCGGATTCAAACCAACGTCTTCTAACATACTGTGCCAGACAATATATCAACTAAGCCTTTATTTTCTTTGTTAAATTATCCATTCTGTCATATCAAAATTTGTATTTTACTTTGCGTAACAATAAAGTGTTTAAATAAATAATAAATAAATTCTGATTCATACTTTTCTCTCTTTAATTTTTCACTAAAAATGACAAAACATAAGAAAACTGAACAAATAAAAAATAAACATGAAAAAATCTTTACAAAAACGATTTGGCTTGTGCTTTTTTGAAATTGATATTTGACATGTTTGGTTAAGTCTCTGATATAAACACATGGCGTGGTATTGCAACTGCAACTGGTAGCATTTTGTTGTTCTAATTTATTTTAGAAATATCAAGATGAGCGCGGCCGTTGCATCCCCCTCCATGCACACTCTGCATAGAGGGCTTTCAGTGGCAACTAAATTGAAAAAGTGTTTATTGTATAGAGCATGACCCATTAGGGCGGCAATTAGAGAGTGAAGCTCTTGCCTTTTAAGTTTAATTAATTTTCGAGATAGACTGGTGTAGAGCGTTAGGAGTGCTTCTCTTTTCCTGTCTACAAACCATAGGGGTAGTCCATGTGTTATTATGAAAAGATTTTGTATCTTTGTGTATAGTTGTTCTGGACCATTGGTAGGGGAGGGACACTATATATTCTGTCCTGCATCATCCATCTCTGACCCTTTTTTGGCTAGTTCATAAAATAATACCAAGATATCATTGATAATTATCACTTCGTACCCTGGTATTTGTGTGGCCTATTCCACTAGTCCCTATGAGCTGTCCCTCCTGATAGAGACGTAATTGCAGTTGGACTTAGTTGACAACTCTCTCCCAATGGCCAAGCCTCAAAACCAGCTTGATGTTTTTGAAGGCTTATGAAAATATTCCCATGCGCAGGTTTCTTGTCTATAATATCCTTCATCGTTATAGCAAATGCATGTAATTAGCTCACAATTGAACTGTGACCTACTTAGGAGTAACATCTTCCATGTCCTAAGTTTGGCTTCCATTGGTTTTACATAACAATCGAAGATATTATGTAAGCTGACCAACGTGATAAGTGTGACTACATGGCTTAATTGATATATTCAATAAAATGCCAAATAATATAAAAGTATTGCTGATAAATCTGATGGTATAGGAATTTAAAAATGACTTTTGAATTACTTAACAATTTGTAAAATATTAACAATTTACATTACAATAACATAACTTTGAATTTCCATGCATACTAGTGGTAACATATGCTATATTTATCTGTGACAAATTCGTTTATAAACTGTTTATTTATCCATTCTAACGCAAATAAAAAATCATCATAAAGTCAGGGATACAGAATCAATAGAACGCAGTCCAATATAGAGATAGAAATAGCCATGATATATTTACCTAAACTACTACAACTAGTACCTTCCCTAAAAACCCGGAATGATTAAAAATGTAAAATAAGAACAAGATAGTTATAATTACAAATATTTTCTTCTGAATACTAGTAAAGTTACACATCAAAAATATAGAAAACAAAATTCAATATAAATACATAAGATATCCGAGGAAGGTATGATCTATGCTATTAACGTGTGCGCACTACGTCCAGAGTGTTCATTATTGGTGAGTGTCGATTGATGATTAATTAGTGGAATTTTAACCGACTTCAAAAAAAGGCGTAGGTTCTTTAATTCGTCTTTTTTTATGTATGTTACGCCATAACTCGTTTGTGAATCGATTTTAGTGATTCTTTTTTTGTTGGAAGGGGATGTACCTCATATTTGGTCCCATTTAAATTTGGAGAAAACATTCCACATAAATGACTTTTGAGGTCGGTCTTTTTAGTACTCTGTACTGTTTTGTTGCTGTTCATTATTGGTAATTTAGAAAAAAATCTAGTGTTTTTTATTAATAATAATAGCTTTTTTATGAGACATACTACAGCGAATGACAGATATATCTGTCAAGTAAACTAATCACTACTCATATGTTTAAAAACAAAACTTCTTTTCTAGGAATCGAATCGGATTTAGTGCACGTGCACAAGCGACATCCGAAATAGTTACGAGTTTTCTAGGTTTGTATAGTCTCGTATTCAAAACGAATGCGAATAGGATGTAGTTCCCAAACGTGCTGTCTATTCCGATATCTGGCAATAACTGATGAAAAAAGGCGTCAGATAACTTTTTGTTCCAAATCACACTAGAACTATAAAACAGCACTTATCTGTTTATGGTTCAAGGATTGATAGCTGATGGAATGTCCAAACAGTAACTTAAAATAAATTTAATTAATAAAAAAATAAAAATAATCTTAAACGCCTAAATAGAGATGATAAATTGATGATAAACATATTAACGCCTGCAGCTGGTTACGCAAATCACATTCTATATAAGTTGTGAAAATTACTTCCATCTTGCTTATCTTCCTACAAAGATAACCCATATTCTTGTTAAGATAGTTATTTCAAGTGCCTCCATGGCCGAACGGTTACCATGCCGGACTGCCACGCACAAGCCCCAGATTCGCTTCCCGGACCGGGTGAAATATTTGTATGGCCTACATTTACTTCTCTCGTGAGTTTGGGTGTAATTTGTGGTTGTCTGTGTTTGTCCATGGCACCCGCGACACATGGTTTCCCTAGTGCGGGGCTATGTTGAGTGTGTTCGTTATTATTATTATTATTTGAAAGTAACTCTACAATAAGAAACAACAGTTTTTGACTAGTATACATTTTGCATATGGACTAAATATTAAGTATCTAGAATGGTTATATAGGCCAATACTAATACTACGTTGAAAGTAAAACTTTTTTAATATCAGTAATCAATGAATTTATGTACATCATAAATATTAATAAAATATCCATTATCACAAAATTTTTCTTGATAATCAGTAACTTATAATATTGTGTATACCTGTATAAATATTAAGTACTTCATTTATTTCTTGATTTGTACTTATTTCTAGCGCAATAGTTAATTTAAATCTTAAGTATCACGTTTGACCTTATACGTGGTCTTAATTGCAATTAGGGGATGTGTGTCGGATAGAGTGTTAAATATTGTCATGAGCACCCCATTAGTGATGAGGTCTATAACCGGCGCACTTCTATGCGAGGTACTGCCTCTCATTACGAGGCGACGACTTCCCACAGAAGCGTCACACCGCTACTTGCATTGACATTGCAAGGCCTACATTAAGGCCTGTAACACTCGTTACAGGCTTTAATAGAAACGATATAAAATTTACTTGTCCAAACGTTATAATTTTCTACTGAAGTGCTAATGTAGATTAATCATTTCTAGACTTTCGTTTTAGTATAATATTGAAATGCAATATGGTCAATTTTCCTCATTAAAGTTTCTATTAAAAAAAAATACACGCATTAGTGCTTGAGTAAAAAAAAATGGTTGACGCTAGTGAATTATGAGAAGAGGGAAAAATATTGTGATTGCTACTAATTAGAGTTCAGTATCATATCAGACCCCACAAGATTTTATGTTATATAATTGTACAATAATTGTACGTTATACATTTGTTTATAAAAGATAACAATTATGCAATATGCAGTTGTTATCTTCTCTATATGTATGAAAATTAATGTTTTTAATTAACGTTACATTAAATATTGTCGATTACGATAAAACTTTCTTGAGTAATTGTGAACCCACACCTAAAAAGTTTCTGAGTTAATCACTCAGAAACTTCCTACTCCTGGGTTATCTTATAAAAAAACTGTTTTTTTAATATTGATTTTATTGTGTATCGTGCGTGATGCATTACTAAAGTCGGTATTTTTCGAAGACGGAGTGAAATGACATTTAGTAGGGTGGCCAGTTTTCTTTAAATTTTAAATAAGTAGTTATGTTGTTGTTTTTTTATAACATCAAGTGACGGGACGAACAATTCGTGCGCCTGATGGTAAGCTACACGCCTATCCATAACAGTTACAGTGCCGCTTAGAGCTTTGAATTGCACTGGCACTGGCACTACCACTGCGCCCGTCACCTCGAGACATAAGTTGACAAGTCCCATGTACCTGTAATTTCACCAGCGCCCTTACCCTTCAAAACCGGAACACAGTAATGCTGACATTACTGCTTGACGGCAGAAATAGGTAAGGTTGTTGTCGACAGTTATGTCGATAGATTGTGAAAGAACATAAAATTTTGCCAAAAATGACTGAATTGTGAATTTTATGACTTCCTAATGATTGCTCATTGCGTTTATTGCCTTCTTTATTCTTATTTTGACAGTTGGCGCACTAATATCGAGATCAATTTTTATTCATAAACATTTCATGCCGGATTTGATTATCTATGTTAAATTAAAATGAAAAACTTTGAAATATGTCTCCTCTTTGTATTTTTCGTAAACATAGTTCTAAATACAGTATATGTATGTTTGAACTTACAAACATTGGCAATTCAGATGAATTTGTGCCCAGCAGTTGGCCTAATAATGGGTCGATGATGATTCAAGTTAAAGAAGTTGAGTTATTTAGAGCATGAGCGTAACTAACGTTCAGTCGATAGTCGATAGGATATTTATCGACTGCAATCACTAGTTACTTGCTAGCAGTGAAATACTTTTGCGCAATGAACCGTAATTTTACTCCATCTTCAAAAAAAGACGGAACATAATTTGTTATATTTATTAATACAAAAACTGAATACGAAGATCGAACACAAAAATGTTTCTTCGATTTAACAGGACCCGAACAGCGTCTATATGCCAATCTATGCTCTACTACGAACTGAGCTATATATTGAGTCAACAACCTTACGAATTTCTCTATGCGTATGTTACTTCTCTATATTCTCTCTATCTTTGTTTCTTGTTCTACATATGTGTAAATAAATTTGACATGTATTTATTGATTTAGATCCGCTGAAGCGAGCCCCAGCGTAGCCTCCACTCTGTCTTTCGAGAGCAGTTCCGGCAACTGGTGGGACTCATGGCTATCTTCGGCTAAGAATAAGGTCAGTTATTATCAAGAAAAGTTAATAAGCAAAAGTATATTTACTAGTGATGAATGAGACTCGTGAGCATTTTACAGGAATCGACTCTAAAATTAAGACTGGAGGTTCGAGTTTTTATTAATGAGACTTCGTTGTTATACTACCTGACTCAACGACTCGAGATGTTTTTAAAAAACAAGACAAACAGGCCTTAGTCGTGCATTTATTTAAAAACAGCTCAAGCTCTTAGGCTCAATTTACATTGCCGCGGAACGGAATGGAATGAAAGCGTCACTGGAATGCTCGAGCGTTGTAATATTTCGTTGACGTTTGACGTCACACTGCGCCTGCCTTCGCGACACTTCCTGCGGATTCGCCGTCGCTTAGGCAACTGTGAAATTCCCGCGAACGCGCGAGAATTCTCCGGAAGACGCGCGAGAATTCTCCGGAAGACGCGCGACTTTATTTTGACTCAAATCTAGTTTGTATGTTACACAATTTACATTATATTTGTTTTATTATGTACAATTTCGTTGCAAAAATTACCATCCACTCCGTTCTACCGCAATGTAAATTGAGCCTTAGGCTTATATGCAAGGGAGTTATATCTCTTTTATATCTTATTGGACCTGAAGTTATGAAAAAAATTAAGAACTAGTTTTTAAAACATGAACAAAAATAAAAATCTACTAAGATTTCCCTAAATACGTGCGCTCCGTCTGAAATACGCGCGTAACGAACGTAACCAAGGAGTTCCTAGTACCTCGACTCGTGCGGAGTCTGGCGTATTCAAATTCAAAATATTTTATTTCACCAACATTTCAGCATAGTATACGAGTCCAAAAATGAAATTAAAATAAAATAAAACATAACATTTTAAAACTCAATACATTAAAGTAAAATAAATTTAAATTAAAGAATATATATTATTAGTTCCATACAATGTACAAGAGTCGTGGGTTTCAACCGCTACCCATCTATGTGCTTGTCGCATGCAAGCGGATTCTCTGGTGCAGCAGCGAAGAGTTCCACCGGTCAATAAAGACGTTCAGGATGTTGTTGGATGATCTAAGCAGAATCTACTGCACGCGAATTACGTGCGTATTTTAACTCGCGTGATGCTTGTAGACGCAATGTATAAGCGTCTAGTACCTCGCCGACAATTCGTATTCATACACGCGAGACAATTCGCGGCGCATTCGCTCCTTCTGGACGTCTTTATTCTATTATTAGTCTTTAATCGATTTGTATTTTTTTTTTAAAAGATAACTCTCGATTGAATGGAAGAAAATTGCATTACAAAGCCATAACAAGTCTTCACCGATTTGAAGGTTACTTTACGATGTTCATTGCCATTTTGAACTGCACATGAATGGAAATAATCTCTTAACAAGAGTAGTTATCCAGTTTTAATAAATCGATATATTGTTATCTACTATGCATATGATAATGATAAATTGCCAAAGCCCCGGAAGGGAAGTGCGATCATGTGACAATGTTTACGTTTTATGTAATCCATTGTTATGAAATAATATCTTCCTATTATACACAAAGTTAAACACACTTAACATACAACTCACTTTAAAAGCAGTTTCTGTGGTCTGTGGTCCAAATAAAAGTATTGTTTTTTAGCTTTTTTTACCATTATTTCCAAAAGTTTACTATCATTGCTAAAATATATTTTATTTAAATATAAGTTATTTTACTATTATATCCAAAGTCACGTTGTATCGAATAAAAGTTTTGTATTACTGTTTTTTTACTATTATTAAGTACCAAAATGTATTTCGTCTCAATAAAAGACTTACTTTACTGCTTTCTATACTCACGAGACTGCCAGCTCTAAAAAGCTGCATTCTGAGTTGCTCTATTCATCTGTTCTCTATTTAATACAGATACGCTATACATACTTATACAATATACTCCATTTACAGTGCCGTGGAATGGAATGGAAGCAAATTTTTGTTACTAAAGCACAATGAACTTCCGGAAAATTTTAGCACTGTCTCGCGAATTCCTGCAGATAACGTATCGTTTACGTTACAAACTTTTAAAGTTTACTTATTTATGTATTGTATAGAAAAGCCAACATGATGCATGTTGAAATACTTGCTAAAGTGTACTTAGTATTGTATAATCTAAATTTGCACGTGTTAATAAATCAAAAGTTGCACATCAGTGATGTTTCTAGGGGTTAGGTCTAATTAATACTTAGTACTTACAATAAATTTAATGGTTTTTTTATATGAATTGCTTTCTGCTACTTATCATGTTACCACTTACACTTACAAGCAAGTTTTTTTGAGAGTTTTGACTACGGGTGGATGTTGAAATACTGGCTTCATATTCTGTAATCAAATTTTGTATTTTTTCTAAAGCTTGCGTGTCATATCGTCACTACAAATTAAATCACTAGCTAGTAATAAACGTTTTTCCAAATTTCTCCACGAAAATACCACAAGGAATACACAACACTAGCAATCATATATTACGGTTATAAAGTTTAAAGGTGGTGGTAAAAAGATATACACCATACTTATTGGCAAAGTTCATTATGCTACGTACAATTCATTCATTGCTTCTATTCCATTTCGCAGCATTGTTAATTGAGCCGTAGCTTAAAATTTTAGTATATCCGTTACTGCGACACGTGTTTATAAGTTGATGATGTTAATCGACCTACTAAAAATTAGAATGTGGGGTCCCTATTATTAAAAAACTACAGATTAATTTTCAGTTTAGTTGCGATGATTGAACCAGTATAAAATGTTGAATCAAATACGCTATTATTGAAACGGTTATGCGCACAAAATGGGGCATTTAATAGTTCACGCTTACTTACTGTTATTATGGAAATTCCTTATCATAATTCGTCACTTGAATAAAGGAGTCACCGCACTTATTAACTTGGAATTGGCTTGAGCCGGGCAGAAAAAGTTTTAAGTCCACGTAATAAGAGTGAAAAACCGCTCGGGTCACCATCGCGACACTTACGCCTTTTTTATTGCATGGACATAAAACTGTCTGACCGGCTTAATGCGATTCTCTGTCGGTAAGTGTGGTAACACCCTCTATCTAACATTAGACAAACTATTTAAGTTTTGTTGAATATCATGATGGTGAAACGTCCTGACATCCAATAAAACTTAATTACAATTCGAGTTCTTAGTTAATTACAATTATTGAAGTGGCATCTCTATTCAGCGGCTGGTTAACTTTAAAGGTACGTCTCTGAGTGAAGAAAAGCTTCCATAGATTTTTCAAAGATGGCGTTACGGCAAAAACTCTTTAAAAACCAAAATGAAAAATTTCGTCGGGTCCGTTGGTTCGTTCCGTTGCTTTAACGTCTAGCACGGTTTGCTTGGAGACGTTGGTTCGGATCCAACCGGATCGAAGTGAATTTTTTGTATGTTAAATTTTTGTTTAATAATTATAATTGTACAAATTTTTCAAAGTCCGCTGAATGCCGCCCTAAAGTGCTTATGTATGTATATAGAATGTATGTCTATGTATATCTATGTATATGGAAATCAACACAAACACTCAATAATATAGTAACAAAATCTAAATCTAGATTAGATAAAACAGTTCATCTACCTGTAAACAACTAGGTCGTTGGCATCCGCACCATGTATCACTGCCAAACATGTGACTCATTAACAAACGTCATTGAGGTTATTTTACTTAAAAAAATCAATATTATGTAAACTAAAATTAAATATTCCAAATACTAGTATTTGCTAAAATAAATACTAGTATTAGTAATTGCTAGCAATTCATCATACGATTGAACATTTTTTATTTTTATTGAATATCATTATGTTTTTACTACCTATTGATATTCATCTATTTTTAACCGACTTCAAAAAAAGGGTGTTCTCGATTCGACTGTATTTTTTTGTGTATATTACGCGATATATATACGTATCTTGTGAACCGATTTTGATGATATTTTTTTGTTGAGGGTACCAGTATTGGTCCCATTTAAATTTGAAAAAAATATTCCACCTCTAAGGATGGCATACGGGGGGAATGAATCCGGTTTCGCGCACTTTCCGGTAACCAATTTCAATAAAACTTTCCAAATATATTATATAAATATATGTAATTCCACGAACTTTTGAGGTCGGTTTTTATAAAACGTTACAATTATTTGTGAAAAATACTTCATTAGTCTGGGTAAAAATAAAAAGATCAATAAAACACAATTAATCTATGCTATGTAGAATGTGTGCGTTATTTATTTATTAAAAAAGTAAAAAAATAAAAAAAATCATTCCTGCGTTCCGACTGGACACGAACCAGCGACTGCTGTCTCGTTACCGCTCTGTTAACGGAGCTACGAATCGAGTCAGCAGATATAGATTTCGGTCTATTCCACTAGTCCTTACCAGCTGTCCCCACCAGGGGGGAAGTTTAGTAGAATTAGCCATAGATTTTAAGGCTATCGTGGTAATTCACTATGATTATCACAAATTACAGGTTTCTTACCACGACAAGGATTTCTTTTAATTTTCCCTATATTTCATGTAATCATACACGCTCCATGGTCACGGGTTGACTGGCCAGCGGCAGATGACAGGCCTCCACCTCTTGCAAAGAGCCCGAAACGTCGGTTTGTTTGAAAGTACAAATATACGTGATTTAAATCCGAAGAAATAGTTTATATAGATTATACCATCATTATTCACTCATACAGGCAAAGGCACCTGGTTAAGTAAAGAAAAACTTTCGTAGATTGCTAACAGATGACACTACGGCATAAACAAAAAAAAATTTTATTACTTACTCACTAACAATAGATTAAGATATTTGTAATACTAACCAATGGATCATAGATATCCGAAATAAAAATTTTTCAATTTCAATAAAAGTCGTTAAAAACCAGAAACAAAGATCTGCAACAAGCACATAGAAAAGGCCTGCTGGTTCATTCTAACTCAGTTGGGAGAGCGTCAGCCACACTATGCTGAAGGCGCTGGTTTGAAGCCAGCTGGATTTTTTTTAATAGCTGAGTTGGTAAGAACTATACTACGGTGCAGTATGGTCGTGCGTTCAAGTCCCATCGGGTCGAAAAAGTTTCTCTATGCGTTCGATCTTTGTATTAATAATAATAATAAAAACTAATGGAGTTATTTCCCAAAAAAAATCTCAATAATTTATTTTATTTATTTTTACTTACACATTTATTTCAGACCACATGACCCATATAATATATACCTTAAGGACTAACATACATACAATGTAATATGATAATAAAATAAACTAAACAAATCATCTACACGTATCACACTTGTCGGCGACGTGTGGCGCAATCTGGTGTCAGGTAACCGGCCGTGGAATCGCCTATGTATGACAGACACCCTTAGGCCAAAACTCTTCTCTCATAAAGGCCGACAGATGTTCGGTCGGCACACCACAAACGAATTGAAATTTACGTTGTGGCGGGACTCCAACCGCTCGACCCTCAGGGTGTGTTTGGCTTTTAGCCTGATGTACTCCACTATCTCCTCAGATTTCGTATAGTAATGTAGTCGCGACAGGTACAGCAGCGTCGTCGGTGTTGCCGAACGGAGCAAAAAGTTCGATCCTGGCGGTGCCGTGCCACACAGGTTACGGCTGGTGGGCTTCCTCTTCCTCTTCACCACCTTTGTGAAGCCGTCCTCGTCGCATTGATCCGTCTGCCTCTGTGGTTTTGCAACTGCGGAGACAGGCACACGGGGATTACTTTTACTCTTAGTCGATTGCCGCCTCTCGAGTTTCGATGTGGCGGGTCGGCTGGTAGAAGCGGCTACAGCGGCTACTAATAATACATCTTCAGGCGCGAAGATATAACTTTATGCCATTAGGTGAAAAAAGGTGTCGTCTCTGCTGAAGCGAGTGCGGGACAGTGGCAATGACATCCTGAGGATGTTAGCCCATCGTATTTTTTTCTATTTTTTTTTTTATAATATTAACGAGACGTACAAGTCGTGACTGGTGATAAGCTACATGCCTGTCCACAACAGTTGCAGTGCCACTCAAGAGCTTCAAATCGCAAAGATCTAAGGAGCTGCCACTGTGCTTGTCACCTTGAGATATAAGATGACAAGTCCAATGAGCCTGTAATGTCACCAGCACCCTTTCCTTTCAAAACCGGAACGTAGTAATACTGACATTACTGCTTGACGGCAGAAATAGGTAAGGTGGCAGTACTTCCCTGGACGAACTCTTTCACAAGGAGCTCTACTGCTACTAAATCTGAACAGAAATCTAGCAACTACGGGTCCCTAATTAAAAAGTTTTAAATGTTTGGTTAAATGTATATAAATTTACACCTACAGCAATTAAATTTTAACTTTGGTACTTGGTACTTGGTGCAACGGGCTGGTGTCCGCAACTCGACGACAAAGCGACTATTTTGCGTGTGTAAATTTTAACTGTTTTTTAATTTTAACTTGTTACTATTTAAATTTTTATTGAATTGATATTCAATTATTTTTATGTGAAATTACTCCATTACTTTGGTATAATTACTTTTGTACAAAGATCGAACACTCAGAAAAAATTCCTTTGATCCGACTGGATTCGAACCGACGTATTCTAGCAAACCGTGCCGCTATACCAACTAAACCACGGGACGAACCAGCGGACCTCACGAATTTTTGTATGTGCTTGTTGTCGTGTTTTTGTATTTATTTGGTTTTTCAACGACTTTTTAGCCGCAGCGCCATTACTAGTTATTTATTATTAGTTATTACTTAAGGTGGGTTATTACTTGGTGTACACTCGACTTATTGGCTTGGTGCAGCAAGCGAACAACTAGCTAGCTACAGGTGAACACTGAAAAATCAGCAATGCTAAGTCTTTAACCTTTTTGTCCACATCACTCAATTGTCTTTTTCTATTCGTTTTTCAATTATTGTGTTTCTTATGTTTTGTGGAGAAATAAATATGTTTTTATTTTTATTTTATTTATTTATTAAATCGAAGGAATTTTTCTTGGTACTTGATCTTTGTATTTATAATTAACATACTAGTGGACTTATTTCACGAAAAATAATTGAATATCATGGTAATAAAACATTGTGATATGTAATGAACTTAATTACAATTATCATTATAATTATTTATTTCTTAAATTTATATTGCAGTCGGCGGAAGTATATTCGATGGTGAAGAAAGACTTGGACGAAATCGGCACCGCGGTCAAGAGTGAGGCGAGTCATGTCTTTAGCACCACCTCCAATGTCATGTCAAAGACGTTCAAGGTACTGCACATTTATCAGCTTCAGTGAAAGCACAGACTCTCTTCCATATTCAGTCTAACCCATAGACTACTTCCTTCAAGACAAGGTCAGCGCTATCAGCGCACTTCCTGGCTGAACACTTTTTGTAATCATCTTATTGTTTTTTATTTCGTATTATGTTATAGTCTGTCGTTTTTGAAGGCTGTGTAAAATGGCATTGACATTTCATATAATTTTAAGTGATCATGTAGTTGTTGTTAACAATTTTTTTTAAATAACTCACAATACAGATGTTTCTTGCAAAAATTGATCTTCTTTCACAATCTATCGATGTAATAACTACTAACTGCCTCTGTAACCGAACGGTTACTATGCCGGACTGCCACGCTCGAGGTCCCAGGTTCGATTCCCGGGCCGGTAGAAATATTTGTATGGCCTACATTTATTTCTCTCGTGAGTTTGGGTGTAATTTGTGGTTGTCTATGTATATCATTACTACTTGGCAGCAGAAGTAAGTAAGGTGGCAGTACTTCCCTGACACTACTGCTACTGATTGAATTTATTTCCCTAAATGAAAAAATAAGTAATCATATTTTATTGAGTTCTTAGGTTTTTGCGATTGTTACACATAGGAAATGAAACTATTTTTACGGATTTAAATCGCGTATATTTGTTTTTTCAAACAAACCGACGTTTCGGGCGCTTTATAGGTCCCATGGTCACGGTTGACACGGTCATGGTCACAGTCAACCCTGACCATGGAATCTGTAAAGGGCCCGTACGTCAGTTTGTTTATATAAAACAAATATACGCGATTTAAATCCGTAAAAATAGTTTCATTTCCTGAACAAATTTTTTTAGTTTTTCTTTATTTTCTGCTGTGATTTTTTTAGGTTTTTTACGGGATTATGCTTCAAATTTCCTTATAAACAATGCAGTAATATATTACAATAACTATATTATTGTAGAAATACAATAATAAAGTTAGTTTAGTATTACCACGGACCAAACCCTGAATAGAGACCATTTTGGATCACATTATTTTGTTACTAAGCTTTCCTTTATGTCATTCCATAAATATATAAAGTTATAAACGGAAAGAGCGTTTTAAAAGAAAACCAATCGCGTCTTCCAACTGAATAATATCTAAAATGTCCAGAACGAATTCATATGTAATATCCACTATACACAATTTGTCATGGTATAGCTAGCTAGGTTTGCGTGAATTATGATTTTCGTTCGCATTGTTGTAGTCACATCGTCCAAACTTAAATCATCTCTTAGTGGTCGGCTATTTGGATGCTTTTAGGGTGCCTTGAAATTAGACGCTTATAGAAGCGGTGCAGTGGAAACACTGTGCCACTATAGCCACGCTACTACTAATTTTCATACAAATTTAAAAGTGCGGTTGCAAGCCACTATAGTGACGCGCGCCACTTTTTATTTTTATTTAATAGTTTATTGTACAGGAAAAATTAAAATTAAAAACAAAAGGTTCTGCATATTTCTAATAGAAATTTCTTCCTGCAGACCTAAATACAGGACACTATGACTAAAAGAACGGGCATATGTGCACAACAAAACAAGGAAAAAAATAATATAATAATATTAAATTGTTATAAATTATATAAATACTTAGATAAATACATATTTTATAATATAATACCTAAGATATGGATGGAATAGTAGATAAATAATGCTCTTTAACTCTCACTTTAAAAATAGCTAACGATTTACTTTCGTGAACAGTAATAGGAAGTGCATTCCAAAGTCTGACCGCATGAACAGTGAAGGAGTGAGAATAGAAACCAGAATTGAAGCCTGGAAAAGATAACTGGGACCTAACAAGAGAGCGACAGGGTATATCCTGGGACCTAAAGAAGCTGAAACGCTCTGTCAAGTACCCGGGAGACGCAGGGTTATGTAAAATATTGCAAAGAATGGAGACAAAGAGCTACTACTCAACTGCCATTGCAATTTTTTGGTATTCTACTCTTCAAAGGCGAGTCGATGCATAGTAATTTTTAGTAGCAGTAGAGCTCCTGTGAAAGAGTTCGTCCAGAGAAGTACTGCTACCTTACCTATTTCTGCCGCCAAGCAGTAATGTCACCATTACTGTGTTCCGGTTTTGAAGGGCAAGGGTGCTGGTGAAATTACAGGCACATGGGACTTGCCAACTCATGTCTCAGGGTGACGAGCGCAGTGGTGCCCCTCAGATCTTTGCAATTTAAAGCTTTGAGTGGCACTGTAACTGTTATGGACAGGCGTGTTCGCTTACCATCAGGTGCACGACTTGTTCATCCCGTCACTTGATGTTATAAAAAAAATGGTAATTATAGTAAGGCAAAATCAATCGTTAATGAATGAATGAATGAATGAATGCCATCACTTACATTCCACGAACACTATTGATTTAGTAGCAGTAGAGCTCCTTGTGAAACAGTTCGTCCAAGGTAGTACTGCCACCTTGACTATTTTTGCCGCCAAACATTAATGTGAGCGTTTCGGTTTGGAAAGGTAAGGTTGCTGATGACATTAGACACATGGGATTTGTCAACTTACGTATCAGAGTGACAGGCACTGCCACTTGCTCCTAAGATCTACGTGATTTAAAACTCTGAATTTAACTGCAACTGTTATGGATAGGCGTGTCGTTTACGATTAAGCAGCCGTGGTAGCATAATGGGATGGAGTCGTGGGTTCGAATCCGAACTTGCACCTCTGAGTTTCTCGGAATTCTTTAATTTGAAATTTATCATGAACTTTTCGGTGAAGGAAAACATCCTGATGAAACCTGCATGTTGAACAAGATTCACAACGCTCGGAAAACATGTGAAGTCCCCAACCCGCATTGTGCCAGCATGGCGGACTATGGCCTAAACCTCATCTCAAAGAAGACCCGTGCCCAGCAGTGGGACGTATACCGTTTATACCAGGCGCACGACTTCATCGTCCCGTCACTAGATATTGTTAAAAAAAACAAATTAAGTAGTCTCAATGGAATTACAATGAGCAGTGGTTTTAACAAAATTAGCAGCCCTGGTCTTTCTTTAGGACGTCCACCAACTTACCCGTTCGCACTCACTATATAATTGTGTTTCGTCAATTGTGTCAATCTTCTTTCACTCATCCTACAATTTTAATTTAAATGTATTGTATGCATTACACATTACAGTTCTGAATCGAACTATATACAGGCTTACTATTTAACTGAGTCGGTTCCTGAGGTAGCTGCGCGGTGCGGGAGGAATGATAGTTTACGTCACAGTTATGTCGCACTGCACACGGGATAATTTCAAAGAGATTTTTCTGACGATATTCAGTAACAAGTTGATTGAAAAAAGTGGTGGAGGAAAGGGAAGTACTACCACCTTATCAAGCAGTAATGTGTACAGTATTATATTCCGGTTTGGAAGGGTAAGGGTGCTGGTCAAATTGCGGGGACATGGGACTTGTCAACTTACGTCTCAGGGCGCAGTGGTAGTGTTTAGTAGTAAGGTTTGATTTAAAGCTTTGAGTGGCACCACAACTGTTATGGATAGGCGTTTCGCTTACCACCAGGCGCACGACTTGTTCGTCCCGTCACTTGGTGTCATAATGAAACTAACTATTTAATTAATAATTGAAAGGAATAGACAAGCCTTTTTTTTTCAATCAACTTTTTATTGAATTGAAATTATTCCGCGTGGAGTGCGACGTAACTGTCACGTAAACTGTTACTCCTCCCTCACCTCGTAGCTACCTCAGGAACCAACTCTGTTAAGCGGTAGGCCTATACAAAACTTTTTCTTCCGAAATTTTAATTTCCGGTCCAATCTCGCGAAATCCGCACTTAAGTAAGTGACTTAAGATATTATGTGTTTTTTTTTTCAGTTGGATGTGCCAGAATCGCCCGCGAATGTTATGAAGAAAAGCATTACCAGTTTTATTGGTAAGCGCATTCCAAAGTAATATTAATTTATAACAGTAACTCTGTTTGTTTGTCTGTTACATTTTCGAGTTAAAGCGCTGACCCAATATTGGTGAATATTGGTATAGAGCTAGATGAGACCTAGGTGAAGGACATATGGTACTTTTTGTCACAAAAATAAATCTTAAAGGGGTGAAAGTTTGTATGGAGAACCATTAAAACTATGAAAATTAGTATAATACAGTATTCTACGCGACGAAATCGCGGGCAACAGCTAGTATAATATAGAATGACAAAAGAAAGACAACAATAATAATTGTTTTATTACAACAACACTTGTAAAGAATACAAATGATATTGTATTGTCACGATATTTTCATTACAAGTGTACGGATTGCTTTTGTGAGGATTGTGAAATTAAATTAGTCAGAATTCTGTTGATCATTCTGTTGATCAGATTTAATGTAGTTGTCGTAACTAGCATTAAATTTTTTAACGTATTTTCGATTTAACACTACGTCCTGAGTGTCAAAAAATATATATTTATATAAAAAAGTACATACGACGATTAGTGGAGAACGTTCGCTTTTAAAAGCTGAGTAAGATCGTACGTCTTAAAATAGTATAAGACAAGCAGTGTAACTTCATACAAATGTAGCAGCGTGGTTTGTATGTGTGCATGCCTGCAGCCGCCGTGTGGACGCACACATTCGCAAAATTTCGGTACACTTTAGTTTGCAAAGCGCAGGCCGCACGCGACATTCGTTATACCTGTAGTTGAGAGGTAAATGACGTTAAGTATATATTTTGGCACTTATAAATGTTTTTAATAACATTGCCTTAGAATGTTAAAAAACGCCCAATGGTAAAAGAGATTAAGTCCTATCATAGTTTGTTTTTTATCACAGTTTTTATTGCGTGGCTTATTCCACTATGGCCATGATTCGAGTCTTTGAAATTTGACTAGTCAGGTAAAAAGTCGCTATTTAATCGGTTCTTGGCGCAAAAGACTAGATTTAGTCGATGCGATGTGGATGTTTTACTGTTCACTTTCGAGAACCAAAGCACCTAGCTTAGTAGATCTGATTGCACTAAAAGTCTTGATTTAGTCAGTTTTAGTCGTAAAAAATAGATTTAGCATTTTTGCCGTTTTGAAGTTATAAAAGTGGTTTACTGTCCACGCTGCCTAATAACGTTATTCCGGCAGCATCGTTTTTTATTTTTTTATTTGTTTTATTTTGTATACGTAAATAGTTAACACAAACATGTCATATGTTTGCAGGTCAAGTGAGCACAGTCCTGAGTCCAGAACCGGACGACGAGGACGACACCGAAGTCATCCTTTCTTCCGGTGATACCACCATGCTGTCCACGTACAAGGTAAAACTATAACGTATACTTTTATCCATTAGGTACAATTTCAATTTGATCGAGAAGGAATTGTGATATAAATCTGCAAATTACTACATAAATATTTAAAGAATTGGGTAGAGGCAATTTAATGCACTATTTAAACACAATAATGCAATGGTTTTCAAAAGTTTTGTCGGTTATTATACTTTTTTATTATAGGTCTAATTTGAAAATAAAAAAAAAACGATTGTCATTTTCTTCATTCATTTGTTTTAATTTCCTACTAATAGAGATTTGTCGAATGTTTCAAAGCATACAAGTTCAGAGAAGACAACCTCAAATGGCTTTGGTTGACTCCGCACAACATTGAAAGTGTTGAATCGATCACTTAAGAAAAAAATACAGTAAAATGACAAAAAAAAACACAAACTTACCTCGAAACTTTAATATACATTTTTGAAATGGCTTTAATTTAAATTTTTTTAATGTTCACAGAAAGAATTAGAAGCCCTCCAGCGCGTAGACGCAACATTCATAGTGCCAGCATACAGTCCTGAGTTCGAAGCGTGGCGTGCTAGTCTGGAACTTTCAGACGCTAGTGTGATTACGCCCAGTGCAGCCGTAAGACGCCTCGATACAAGTCCTGTCCTCAAATCGCAGTACGACAAACTAGTGCCCGACGCTGTGTCCCATGATGACTTCTGGGAACGGTAAGACCATTTCGAATTTAATAAACTCAAATAATCTTAATTTCATAAGTAAGCAAATTACACTTGAAATCGTCATATTGATTAAACTCATTCATACGGCAGATTCTCCTGAGAAGAAAGAGAAAGGGACGTATGGTCACGTTAGCTATGCTACCAATTTTGTGCGCGTGAGACAATGCACTGTATCTACTAAGCAGATACACTACACATACTTCTTAAGTGTGTTACGCCTCTCGATTTTTTTATCAGTCTTTTTGTTTTTTATGCCTACATTTGAAAAGCTATTGTTATGTTTAGTAGCTGAAAAGTTCATCGACAGAAGTACTGCCACCTTACCTATTTCTACCGCCAAGCAGTAATGTGAGCATTACTGCGTTCCGGTTTTAAAGGATAAGGGGTACTATAGAAATTACAAACACATGGGACTTGTCAACTTATGTCTCAGGGTGACAGGCGCAGTGCCAGTGTCCCTCAGATGTTTGCGATTTAAAGCTTTGCTTACAAGCAACAGGACAGGCGTGTCGCTTACCACCAGGCACACGACTTGTTCGTTCGTCACTTGATATCAAATCAAAAATCATCATAATTTGAAAATAATAATCATAATCAAAAAATAAAATGATATTCCTTGTGCTAAATGATGATGTATGCATGTTGTTAAAAAAAAACTTGGTCTTATTTACTAGGAAACGTGAACAATGTAACTTTTTAACTAGATATCCAAACCGCTTAGCTGGCCCCTCCCATAACACTACATGCTTTTATAGGAATTGCTATAACATGTCCATACAAATATATAATGTTTTACCTGCAGCTATCGCAGACTTGCCTATAAAAATATTTTTTTTAAATCTATTTGATTTGCTGTGTGATCTGTATTTATATGATACCAAAGATTTTTTAACAATAAAAAGAAATTGACATTTTGTTTGTATTTGACATCTTGTTTATATTTGTGCTGTTCTTACTTCTTTGACATTGTTTAATTTATGATTTTATTGCTGTTGCTATTTATTGGCATTTTTACGTCTTTAAGAAGTGCGCGCTGATGGTTGGGCGATATAGGGTTCAACATTTTTCCTTTTTTCCTCTGTTTTGGCAAGTGTACCTGTTCTCAATGTGTAAAATAATATGTTGTTTCCATTTCAGTAATAATGTTTTAATTTCAGTAGACTACAAATTTAATCACTTAATTTTTGTGCTACTTCCAGAGTTTTGTAAATTAGCATTTTCACCAGTTACTTAACATATTGTTAAAAATTTGCTATGAATCTTCCAAAAATAAATAAATTGTACTCGTTCGCAGGTACCTATTTCGCGTAGCTCTCCTACAAGACCGGTTGGCGGCTGCCGCGCGCCGACAACCCGTCTCGCAGCCCTCCACCGACCCGGTGATGGCCCATCTGCCGCTGCAGTCAGAACAGATTGAGTCAGTATAACAACAATAATTTAACTTATAGTATGAATCACATTTATATGCCCATAATGTAAACAAAGAAGTGTCATTGTCAAGGTGTGAATGCAGGTGTGCTAAACCTTCTATTTTTAACGGAATTAGAAAGGGAATCGCCATCCATTACCTACAATTTTATTTATCTATTCCAAATATTAACAATAAACAAAGACTTTAACAACAACACAACAATTTTAACAAACGCGCTACGGAGACAAGAAAAGTTTTGAGTTCGGGAAACTAAGCACGACCGACATGTATGACACGACAAAATGGCGGTACTAAAAATGTTTTTGATCCCGATTATGTTTCCAGTGTCATAAAATTATTTACGATCTTAAACAGTATTTTGTTATAATTGTTGTATAAAACGAAATTTAAGTAACAATATATATTGCAAAATATTTTATCAGCAGGGCTAACCAGGCCGTATTGGCAGAATCATAATATGATTATGCAAATTATTTTACATAGTCTCAACATAAATACATACATTTTGAAGCCTGGTTATAACTATCTTATAACATAAAATATTAATACATACGCACATACTCATGCACGCACGCACGCGCGCACGCACGCACGCACGCACGCACGCACGCACGCACGCACGCACGCACGCACGCACGCACGCACGCACGCACGCACGCACGCACGCACACACACACACACACACACACACACACACACACACACACACAC